GAAGGACTAACAGGGTTGGAAGCCTTGTTTCCCATGTCTGCAGCGGAGGCAGAAAAATAAAAAATAAACGTGATCCGGAGCCAAGGCCCCAGGCGTCCCCAAGGCCAAGGGCAGATACTGGGCGCAGGCTGCTCCTTGACTCGTCAGCCACAGAAGCAGGGGCCCCCTCCACGGTGAGGAAAGGATTCCTCGGGAATCCAGACAACGTTTGCCCCTTCGTCAAGGAGATGGACGTGCCGGCCTCACGTGGCTCCCAGGACGCACCAACGGTGGTGGCCCTAACTCGAGAAATATCTCAGGCTGCAGACGTGGGAGACGGCTAGAAATGTTAGGCCTGCGATAGGGGCCGACCGTAGCCAATGAAGACCGTGGTCGGGGGTTCCCCCGGTCTCAAGAATACGTGTGAGGCGCCAGACGATCAACGGTCGTTCTCACAGATTCAGGAAACTGTTTATGCTGGCCAAAAAATGGGGGGACTCACCAATCGGAAGAAAGCGGTGTTGGATGCAATTTGGATGCGATTCAGGCAAATGGAGAGCGGTCTGTCATGTACGGAGCAGATTACCCGGTTCGCGGGCTTCCAGGTGCAGGGCACCCGGAAGCGCCCACTCGGTTTCGGCACCAAAATGTTAGTTATTTAGCTGCGTTGTGTTCTTACCCTGCAAGGAAGTGTCATGAAACACTACAGAATCTGCTTATAAGAGTTTATTAGAGTTAAAGGGACAGAGTGCGCAGGCCTGTGGGAGAGACACGTGCGTGGAGAAGAAGAAGAGGAGAGAAGAGAAGAGCCATTCTAGTTATTTAACAGAGTAGAAAGGTGGAGTAATTTCTTCTTTAGCACAGTCCTGATATGCAGGTGACCTGGCAGCCTTCTGCCTTATAGAGACACTCCCTTGAGGAAGTGCCCTACTGGAGCTGAGATACGAACTTTCGTGTCTTGCTCTTGGCCTGTGTCTTGAGGATGCAGACTCAAGCAGAGAATCAGTACCTGTATAAATAAGAAGAGTGCTGAGTATTGTAGAAGCTACCAGAGTCTCATAAATCTTATGCTCAGCAGATGGAAAACTTCAGAAGACAATGAAGGAGAAGAAGGAAAGGAGAACACCTCCAGATGGTAAGCCCCTCACTCGCTAGGAGCCTTTATGTAATGTAAAAGTCTCAGGGTTAAGCGTGGACAAGTAGGTGTGTCTCCACCCACTTAAAGTATCTGAAAACAGGTTTTAGGGTGCCAGCATGGAAGAAAGGCGAGTGCAGAGTGATGCTTGTGAGTATTTGAATTGCTAGTCTAACGTAGGCATGGCCTGTCTCTCTAGATGGTTTGTAGATGTGCAGGAACTGTGGTCGTTAAAGTGTTCAGTAAAGATTGCATGTGACCCTGCCATATTAAGTCGTGGCGTCTATTGTGTGCCCTTACCGTTGTCTCCATTTATAGGGCTGTTTTTCCTTTCTCTAAACTCTTGCATGTGGCGGTTGAGCTGTATTCTTGCTTTGAAGTAAGTCAGTCTACGAGATTGGCCTAAGGAATCACTGTTGTCTCCAGATATTGCTCACTTGAGGATGTCTAATACTCCTTGTGAAGTACGGCTTCATTAAAGTATATGGTATAGAGGCAACCCCAAGAATTTGGATTCTAAACCCATCTTTCCCCCCCTTATTTTAGTATTTTTGAGGCAAAGTCTTCCTATATAGCCCAAGCTAGTTTGGAATTCCTATGTAGCCCAAGCTGGCCTCAGTCCCACCCCCACCCAGGCTGTCCTTGAACTTTGATTCCTTTTACCTCAGCCTGCTGCGTGCTGGGATTGCAGGCCGTGTGGCACCACCGCGCGCGCACACCCCCGTTTTAACACTCCCTGTGCACCATTGCTTTCTGTCAGATGAAGAGGACATCTTGTTTCCACCCCCCAAGTTGACTGATGAAGACTTCTCACCGTTTGGCTCTAGAGGTGGCCTCTTCAGTGAAGGACAGGGACTTTTTGACGATGATGAAGATGAGGTGAGGTGGGCGAATGAACGAAGCTCTTTGTATCTGTGCCATTGCATGTGTAAGGAAGAAAGCCATGTTTTTGTTTGAGAAACGTAGCTTCCTATTAGTTACTCCTTTCATTTGGGGGACATGTTGAAGTCAGAACCACAGAGGGAGAAATACCATATCTCCTGATGTCTTACTGTCCTTTGACGTGAGGAGAGGCTGCCAGAGGATCCGTAGTGGATAATGTACTTGAGTTAGCAGTATGTTAGCCTCTTCCATCTTTTTATTTAATTCCCGACAGGCCCAAATTAAGTTCACTTTGCTCTCGTCTGAACTTTGCGACTGTTCTTTGGAAGGATAGTAAACACGTAGCTTCAAAGTATATAATACTTTTCAGAAATCTTCAAGTTCAGCCTTGTTTATCTCTGTATTTTAAAATATCCTCTGTCTTACCACAACCAGAGTGACCTCTTCAGGGAAGCCTCCCGGGATCGGCAAGCACAAGCTCCCGTTAGTGAAGGTAGGGTTGGGGATGACCGCTTTTCTCTTGCATGCTCTCTTAGCTGGCTTTCTATTTCTGGTACTGTTGTCTGTTGGTCATGATAAACACCATGACCAAGAGCAGCTTGGGGGGTGGGGTTAGTTCTTCATTTATCTTTGCAGCCTATAGTCCATCATGAAGGGAAGTCAGGGCAGGAACTCCTGGAAAACAAGAACTAAAGCAGAGGCCGTGGAGGAATGCTACTTCCTGGCTTGCTTTCCAGGCTTATATATAGCTGTTTTTCATTCTCAGGACCATCTAGCTATGGGTGGCATTGCTCACAGTGGGCTGGGCCCTCCACATTAATTATTAATCAAGAAAGTGCTCCACAGACCTTCCTATTGGCCAATCTGATGGAGGTAGTTTCTCAATAGTTTCTCTTTCCAGACAACTCTAGCTTCTATCAAGTTGACCACCCCCCCCCAAAAAAAAAAAAAAAACTTTCCAGCAAACAAGTTCTAAATCTCTTTCTATTGGGAGACAGAACACCCAAGGCTTTATTTCTGTTAAGCTGAAAGTTGTTTTTGCCTTGAAACAGTTGAAGACAGTTTGTCTTCGCCAGTTTCTGTCTTAGGAACAGACAACAGTACCATCTTCAGACCCACATCAAACATTTGCCTCTTAGAGGTTGATAAGACAGTAAAAAAGTATTTGCGAGCTTTGCTGAGGCCAGCTTTACTATAATGACATTTAACTCAAGGGAACATTGCTTGTGTTGAGTATATCAGTTGGCCATCAATAATTCCTCCAGGTGGCGTCCATCAGAATCATCTGTAGGAATTTCTAAAAGCCCAGAGTGTTTTTTTAGGAACTACAATTTTTATTCCATCAGATTTTAAGGAGTCCCTTAGGCATTGGGAATTGGTTATTTTAAATGACAGCCTCCTGTGTGATTATTCTCTGTTGGGGCCATCCTTATCTTGCTGTTGTGTTGGTTTACTTATTTTTCTTGTTTAACTTGCTACTTTTATTTTCTTTGCCACCATCTCACAGGTTTTTACTGTTCCCTTCACCAGTTCATCTCACTGAGCTGGAAAGGATAGCATTAGCCCTGTCTTAAAAGACCGTGCTTGCTCTGTGCCTGGCTCCCCCAGATAGCCTTGTTGGCTGCTGTTTGGCTTAGTGCATCTTCCATGGGAGTCGCAGTTTAGACTGTCTTAATCCTAAGGAAAAAGCTGCTGATGTCAATAAAAATGAAAAGAACTCAATACTTTTAAAAATGGCTTATTTAGGGACAATTGTTCTTTTTATAAAAACCTGTTTAGGTTTGTACCATGTTGCATGTACTCCAGAGAAGGGCTGGGCTGTTGGTATTTTTGAGACAGTTTTGTATGTAGTCCTGGTTGGTGTGGTGCTTACCATGTAGCCCCGATACACGACTGTCCTCCTGCCTTGGCTGCTCAAGTGTGATTACAGGTGTGTCCTTCCATGCTCAACAAGTCTGGTGAAATGATTGACCTTTCTTCCTTATTTTAGAATCTCCATCCCCCAAACCTGGAAAGAAAATCCCAGCAGGGGCTGTTTCTGTATTTTTAGGTAACAGGGTTTATTTCTCGTGTGTGTGTGTGTGTGTGTGTGTGTGTGTGTGTGTGTGTTGTATGCACACATGATGTGAGGGGAAGCATCTGCCTGTGTGTGTCGAGGGAAGATGACAGATGTCCTGCTCTAGCATTCTCTTCCATGTTCCCTTGAGACAGGGTCTCCCACTGAACCTCCACTAGGCTGGTGGCCAGTAAGTCCCAGAGAGTCTCCCAACCCCGTGTGCCATCACTTGGGTGACAGCACAGGTACCAGCCACACCCTGCTTGTCTTTTGAGTTCCGGGGATTTAAACTGAGATCCTCATGTTTCTAGAATAAGCACTTACCTGCTGAGCCATCACCCCAGCTAGCACTATTAAGAACTGTATAAATTCCATTTTGTCACCGTTTTATAAGGACTGGCTAGAAATTGGAGGTACCCAGGAGCCCTAGAAGGCATTGGAGAGTTTATAACTAGAGCTTTATAACTGATGGTACGAGCTCACATTCTATGTGAGGTCAGAGGTGTTGGGGCAGGGGGTTTGACAGAGTGGTAGAGCACTCGTGTAGTATGCGCATGGTCCTGCTTTCCTCTCCAGCTCTGCAGAGGGCTGCAGGGGTGAGGGAAAGGAGAGAGGAAAAGAAGGAAAGAAGGAGGAAGGGGAGAGAGAGGGAGGGGAAAGGAGGGAGGGGATCAGTGCAGTTTCTTGAGTGGTCAGGCGGTCTTGTGTTGTGGTTGAGTTCTCCAACACTAACACAAAAGTTCCTTCATTTTCTAAATGTGGTTTGTAGATGAACCTAACTCATGAGTGGTGCTGTTTGTAGTCAGGAGGCTTACTCCGGCTCATAGCTCTGATTGTCTTCCATCCACAGGGTATACTGATGCGTCTGGATCCACTTCTGCTCCATCATTGAAGGAGTTCCAGAAACATGAGCAGTCCACTCCAGGGAAGAGTCCACATCTGCCAACTCCTGCTGGCCTCTTTGATGATGATGATAATGACGATGACGATAGCAACTTTTTTGTGCCATCTTCTAACAAACCTTCCAAGACTGGTACCACTTTCAGCCTAATTCTGGGAACTTAGAGAAGAACATTGAACTTGCAAGGCAGTGGTGGTGCACACCTTTAATCTCAGCACTCCATTTGAGGGTTCAAGGCCAGGACAGCCAGGGCTATAAAGACAAACCCTGTTGAAAAAAACAAAACAAAAAAGCACGTTGAACTTAAAGGGACAGAGCTCTTGACCTTCAGTGTCTCTTGCAGTTCCAGAGTGCCTTGCTGAGCATTGCTGTCACTGTCCTGTCTATGCTTAAATCACGCCACAACCTTGGGGGTTCCTAACAGGCCAATCTTTTCTGCGCTGGAAACTAATTACTGATCTTCTTTATAGGGAGCTGAATTTCTTCTCCTGTATTTTTTTCTCAAAGATTCCGCTCCTGCCTTTTAAATTATAGACAGAAATTTAGTCATACGTCCTCCTAGCAGCTCGGGGTCATTACGTGAGCAGAACATTGCATGCTGGTTGCTTCATTCCCACCTTTTCTTTCTCTGCCAGAGAGCTCAGATGATCCTTGGCCTCGTCCTCCCATAGCTTTTGTGGTCTGTTGTCCGCTCCGTGCTCTTCCCTCCTCTGAGTCCGTGTGTGTTGAAGTCTTTCCTATAAGTCCTTTGTTTTTAGTGTGCAGATGTGTCTCCTGAGAGCCTGCATCTCTAACACTCTCTTGACCTCAGCACCAGCTCTAAGTTCACATCTGCAGAAACAAGACTTACATTCATCAGGTAGTGTTCTTGAAAAGAAGGGTAGATCCTGAGGTGCACATAGTTTCAGCAGTTGGATAAAGGAGAAGATGGCGTCAGGAAAAGATAAAATCAGAATGTGTTAGAACATGATGTCTGCAGTAACTTTCCAGGGTTAGGGGTAGAGGACACAGACAGAAGCAGAAGTGTGAGGGAAAGCGCTAACTTCATCATTTTAGAAAACTGGAGAAATATGCAGTGAGCTCAGTGGACAGACTTAAATGGCAATAAATGAATGTGGAAGTGCATTCTTCAGCCTTGAAGGGCTCTCGACATCTTAGCAAACATTTATACAGCTCTCTGAAACCGTGCCTTACTCACTGACACATGGCTGTGCTTGGAGAACAAAAAGTAGAAAACCACTCAGGTTTTCCAGAGCCAGGAAACCTGTGGTGTTTCCATTTGGTGGATCTTTGCAAAGCTGTTAAAAAGAATGAGGGGCTGGAGAGATGGCTCAGAGGCTGTGATTACTTGCCACCAAGTTCTGAGGACCAGAGTTCTGATCCCAGCACCCGTGTAGCAAGGCTGGGATCAAGTGCAGGCCTGTAAGCCCAGCTCTGAAAGGGACAGAGATAGGATCACTGGGGGTTGCAGGCTTCCAGTCTAGTAGAGAAAACATGAGCCTCAAGTTCAGGAAAAGATCCTGCCTCGAAGGAATATGTAGTGATAGGACACCTAGCACTTTCTGACCTCTGTATACATGCACAGATGCTCATACACCCCATACATGAGCATACCCCCACACAAACACATAAATAAATATCCCCCATACATGAGCATACACACACGCAAACATATATATGAATAAATAAATAGCCCTCATACATGAGCATACATACACACAAACACATAAATGAAAGTAAATATCCCCTGTTCATGAGTATACACACACACAAACACATAAATGAATTCCCCCATACATGAGCATATGCAAACACATAAATGAATAAATAAATATCTCCCATACATGAGCGCGCACACACACACAAACACAAATGGATAAATAGATGAATCTCATAAAAAGTAAAAAGATTGAGGTATTTACTTTTCTACTTGGGAATATTTCCTCTGTACATTAAATGGAAAACACAAATGGTAGGGCATTTTGCTCAGATTATTTAAACTTTAGTCTTATGAATAGCTGACATTAATACATGAAGTAGTAGGAGATTTAGAAGCATGTATACCAAACTCTTCCATCTGGGCAGACAAGGGGAATTTTAGCATTTGCTTCCATCTTTTTCTGTATAGTTTGGTTTTTAATAAAAACAGGAGTCATGCTTACATCTCTTTCCTAGAACTATTCACTTTTTGGTGCTTTAAAGTGATCTTTCTTTTTCGTCCCATCATGGGGTGCTTCTGCATGGATGAGGGTGTCATTCGGGTGGTTATGTCTGCCTTGCTTTGAGTACCAGGGAGATAGAACTAGGGAGAGTAGCTCAGTGGCAGAGCACGTGACTGGCACGTGGCTCTCCCTGGTTAGTCCTCGGAATTGCAGGGAAAAGGAAAATGAAAAATAGTGAAGGAAGAGCATGGTTCCATTTCCTTTGTCTTTCTCTGTAAGTGATTAAGAAATAAGATGCCTTTCAGATTTATCTTTGGGAGATTTTTTTTTGTTTTTTTGGGTCTGGATTTTGCAGGAGGATTTTGATGTTGATGTAATTTTATGCTGTGATTTCTTTTCTTCTTCTTCTTTTTTTTTTTTAAGACAAAATCAAGTCCACTGCCATTATCTTTGATGATGAGGAAGGAGACCTCTTCAGAGAAAAAGCAGCGGCTCTGCCAGAGGCTTCTGTGAATCAGACAGATGAACACAGAGATAAAACGGTGAGGAGGGGCAGATCGTGGGGTATTAGCCTGGGCATCTTACAATGGCAATTTATGTGGATCTCAGAGGGATGTAGAATTCTCTTTTATGCTATGGCTCTTGTTGGCTTCCTGTTGCTGTGATAAACACTGACCAAAGCAACCAAGGGAAGAAGTGGCTTATCTGGCTTACAAGATGTAGTCCATCCTTAAGGGAAGAAACCAAGGGAACCACTCGAGGAGGCTGTGGAGGAATGCTGCTGACTTATTTGCTTTCACTGACTTGCTCAGCAGCCTTTCTTTCTTTCTCTCTCTATCCCTTTCTTTCTTTCTTTTTTTCTTTTGTTTTGTTTTTTCGAGATAGGGTTTCTCTGTGTAGCTTTGTGCCTTTTCTGGATCTCACTCTGTAGCCCAGGCTGGCCACGAACTCACAGAGATTCGCCTGCCTCTGCCTCCCAAGTGCTGGGATTAAAGGCGTGTGCCACCACCGCCCGGCCTTCAGCCACCTTTCTTACACAGCCCAGGCCCACCTGCCCAGAGGTGGTGCTGCCCACAGTAGGCTGGGCCCTTCTACATAGATTAGCTATCAAGAAAATGCCTGACAGACATGCCTGCAGGCCAATTTGATGGAAGCAGTTCTTCAGTTGAGTTCCTTCTCCAAAAATGTGCCAAGTTAACAATCAAGAATAGCAGCCACATTTATATTGAACTTTGAACATAAAATTGAAAGACACAATGAAACTCCAAATTTACCAGATTCACACATAGTGAGGATTTACCAAGGAAGTGTCTGAAACTTGTGCAGACTTGCTGTTTTCAGAACTATTTGTAAATAATTTGTAGTCATTATGGTGTTTTACCACCTACATGTTTTATTAGGCAGCTCTTGGAAAACTGTTTTATGACTGGATGCCATTGTCATTGGCCAGGGGTTGGCAGTAATTCTATAGAAAAATCTGATGTTAGTCTGCATTCATGAGGCTCCAATTTGCCCTGAAATTTCCTTTATAAAATCATACCCAATATAATACTGATTTAAAATGACTTCATACATAGTCTGTATTCTGTTTTTTTGTCTCTTGTCCCACAGATGTCACACAGGTTTTTTTCTTTCTTTAGTGTGTGTGTGTGTTTCTGTGTCTGTGTCTGTGATACATATGTATGATGTATCTATGCAGGCACACGAGTGCCATAGTGTGCATGTGGAGGTCAGAACAACTTTGAGTAGTCAGTTCTCTGCTTGTATCATGACTTACCTCAACCTCACAGTTCTGCCTTTATCTCCCCAGTGGTGAGTTTACAAGCATGTATCATCCTTAGACCTGGCTTCCTTGTCATTTGTAAAGCATGCTGTATTAGTCAGGGTTTCTAGAGGAACAGAAGTTACAGAATAAATGTGTGTGTGTATACATACATATATTTATATTTATAAAGGGGATTATTAGAATGGCTTACAGGCTGTGGTCCAGCTAGTCCAACAATGACTGTCTGCCAATGGAAGGTCCGAATCCAGTAGTTGTTCAGTCTGCAAGGTTGGATGTCTCAGCTGGTTTTCACTATATGTCGGAATCCCAAAGGAGGAAGTAGGCTCTAATGCCAGTGAAGGAATGGACTTGCCAGGGAGAGCAAGGGCAAGCAGGCCAAGAGAGAGAAAGCTCCCTTCTTCCATGTCCTTTATATAGGCTGTCAGTAGAAGGTGTGGCCCAGATTAAAGGTGGATCTTCCTACCTCAAAAGGTCTGGATTAGTGGTATATCTTCCCACTTCAAAAGATCCAGATTAAAAGTAGGTCTTTCCATTTAAAGTGATTTAATTGGGAAAAAAAATCCCTCCCAGGTGTGCCCTGCTACTTGGGTTTTAGTTAATTCCAGATGTAGTCAAGTTGACAGCCAAGAGTAGCCCTCACACTTGCCTCATTTTGTCACATCCTTGTTTTGCCCTCGCAACTATCAAAATACCAGCATTCAAAATCATCGTGGTCCCTCCACCAGTTTGCCCTTTTGTCTGTCCCTTTTGTGTGCTGAGTGACAGAGGACATGCTCCCATGTACATAAAGATGTGCCCTGAGCTTTGTCTGATTTGTACCATCTCACTGTTCTGGGGCCTCATCAAATTTGAGAAACATATTTTCTAGTGAGACTGTGTCTTCTCTGTTGCTAATTTATGCCAGTTTTTAAGTTCTTTGTCACGGTACTTCTGTATAAAATCTTCGTGTGAACATTCTACAGAGGAAGGTCCCAGGCATGTTTAGTCACTTTGTTTGGTACCTTCTTACAGTAGAGGTGGGGGACGTTTTCTGAACGAATGAATGAGCTTGTTTCCATGTCTCTTACTTGCTGACAGTCTATTTTTTTCCTTCTTTTTTTGGTGGGGATCCAACTAGATCACCTTCCCTTCCAGCCGAAATCCGAAGCTTGTGTCAGAAACAAAGACTCAGAAAGGTTTGTTTTCAGATGAAGAGGACTCTGAGGTACGGAAATCTTTTCTTAGTTCTGGAGGTTCATCTATAGATAACACAGTAATAACTTTCTGAATTAGTGTGTCAGCAGAGGTTTAAGACTTTATTAAGTAGTTCAGTTCTTATTTTCAAAATAATCTCTTGGGCTAGGAATAATTCAATGGTATAAAATGTCTGTTTGGCATATACAAGACCCTATATTTTCTTGGAAATATGTGATCTTCAGAAAGCAACATATATATACAGTACCTTAACATTTCCCTTAACATTCTTAAATTTAAGACTGTGTTGGTTCACAATTGTGGTAAGATGCTTATATGAGAGAAGAAATCAGCCTGCTCCTTCCTTTAATGGCAGCGTGACTTAGTAGTGAGTTTGTTCCCACTGTGATACATACTCAGCACAGCTTTTGCTTTTCATTGCTGGTGACAGATGACAGGTTGTGGGTAGGAAGACTCAAGCAGCTTGGGCTTCCGTCCTTATGCAGTGAGTCTCTAAGCATGGCAGGTTCAGGAAGTGAAGCCTATTTCTGGTGATTCAGCTCCTGAGAGTGTCAGATAGAGGCTGTGCTGCCTTTTTTATCTCAGTCTTGGAAGTTGTCCTAGTTAGCTTTTCTTGGCTGTGATAAAACACTGATCAAAAGCAACTTGGGGAGGAAAAGGTCTATTTCATATTACAGGTTGTCCATTATTGAGGAAAGCCAAGGCAGGAACTTGAGCAGGAACCTGGAGCAGAGACCAAGGAGCAATACTGTTGATTGGCTTACCCTCTCCTGCTTGTACTCAGCCAGTTTTCTTGTATAGCGCAGGACCACCTGCCTAGGGATGGCGTTGCCCACAGTGGACTGGGTCCTCCCACATCAATGAACAATTAAGATAATACCCCACATATATGCCCATAGTCCAATGTGATGAAGGCAGTTACTCAGTTGAGGATCTGTCCTCCTTGGTGTGTCAAAAGACAACCAAGATCACCTGTCACAGAAGTCAGTGCTATTTCTTCTGCGTTGCTGTGGCAGTCTTGGAATTAGGAGCAGGATACAAACTTCATTGAACATTATATGTGTGTGTGTGTGTGTGAGAGAGAGAGATTCTGGGTCCTTGTGCATGCTAGGCAAGCACTCTATCACTGAGCTATATTTCTAGTCCCCCAACTTGAGTTCTTGATGGTAGAGTTTAATAAACTGGAGGCTCGTTTTAAAACCACTACTCAGGGCTTTGCCCCATGGGCACAATCGTAGAGTGAGTGTTTTTATTGAATATTGTTAGAATTCTAGGCAAAGAGAAGTAACACAAGGCAGTCTAGGACATAAAATATTGAACTGGAAGGAATGATTTCTTGTGCTTATTTGTGGCTCAAGTATGAACAAGAAGTTTGCCTTACTAAATTTTTTTTGCGGGGGGAGGGGGCATGTTTGAGGTAACAGAAGTGTGTTTTCCCCCCTGCCAACAAGGAAGGTCTAAAATTACAATGCAGAGATCTATTTTTTGTTCTTTGGTTGAATTACTTTATATTCTTAAAACATTCAGCCCATTCCCAGTGTGTAAAATGCAGAAGGGCCATGGGACACTGGAGCCTCTTTGTAAACAAACCAGTGTGACTCATGGAGCCAAATGCTAACCAGTATGCTAAGAATTCTTCTCTCTAGGTCAGTGAACTCATTAGGTTTGTTGATGAGTGGTAGACATTGATTGTGTAATAAAACATAGCATCCAAAGAGGTCATAGAAAATGTTCTTGTCTTGTTTAATTATCTGGCTCTTGTATTAAGGATCCTCTGCCCAGGGGACAGTTGTCCCAGTTTATGTTTCTGGTTCATGGAGCTCAGTTTGCAGAGTATTCCTTGTGGTCTAAGCTACAGTCCATTAAATTGTGAGGACAATTCAGAACTTGGCAGATCCTTTGCAGCATTTCATAGTTACAGCTCCAGTAGAACAGTAGACACTTGTAGCACATACCCACCCTACCACTGAGTTATCTTCCCAGCACAAACCTTTAAAGTAGGAATTTAATTTGTATTTATTTAAAAGATGCAATGTAGCCTCTGGGGAGAGATCTTAGCAGTAGAGCAGGCGCAGGTATAGTGCTTTGCAAATCTAGCCCGTTTTGTGGTAGAATTTGTGTGCTTTTCTTTGATACTTGAGACAAAGGAAGCCTTTTGTTTGCATGATAGTACTGACTGGGAAGGTCTTCCTGCCTCCCATCCTTCAGGTGGAAATATGATTGCCCTACAGGCTTCACAGAGACTACCTGAAATACCCTGTGGCTCTCCCTTGCTCCTTGTGCCCACACACCAAGGACCGACACTGAGGTCCCAAATCTAGACACACAAAGCCATCACATTCTAGTCTACTGTACTGACGGGATGTTAAAGCTGATAGGCCCTGCTAACCAGTAGCTTTGATTTTGATTTGTTCAAATCAACAGGATTTGTTTTCTTCTCAAAATTCAAGTAAGTCAAAAAGTGCATCACTTCTGTCCAGCCAGCTCCCCACATCGGTCTCCCTTTTTGGTGATGAAGATGAAGAGGTAGGTGTTGTTATTGCAGTACTAACTAATTAGCCTAGAACAGTAGAGAGGGGTTTGTGTTGGCTTTATATACAGCCAGAGGGGTGTGTAGTAGTAAAGCGTGCTGGAGAAGCCCCTGGGTTCCCAATATCTGGTCACATTGGTGACCCCCAAGTTTTTCTAGTAATACAATTAGGGAGACATTGAAATCTTGACTCATTTATTGGGGAAAGCCAAATAGTTTTTTTTTTTTTTTTGTTGTTGTTGTTTTTTACACTCTTTTGATAAATAGCTTTAGAGAGGATAGATCTCTTATACCCGATGATCTATGAGACTCTCTTGGGTGCAGTGTCAGTGGTGAAGAGGAGACAGCCATGTTTAGGTTTACATTTCTTACTCACTCTGGCTATAGAGAGTGGCGTGGTAGTGAAAAGATAGAGGTTAGAAAAGACCCAAATTCGAACCCTTATGTGGTGTTGTGCAGTGGTTGTTCCATCACTGCAAACCCAGACTTTCTGCAGATACCTCAGCACCTCCATCTTCGATGGGGTAAAAGTCACTAGGTTCATTGTAGCTCTGAAACAAACAGTGTCGATCTGTGCACAGTGGTTGGTAGAGGTGCATGGTGGATGAAAGTTGTTGTTGCTAACATCCCACTGGACCCCATCTTGTTAGGTCTTTTCTATCTTACCAGGGCTTTCCTTACAGACCTCCTTTATTGTCTTCGGCTCAGGACT